CCACACACACACACACACACACGCACATATTTAGTTATTTATATATTTAGTAATCAAAACATCCATAACCTTTGACCAAAAATTATCTGATAATAATCATTGTTTCACTTTTTAAAATTTATTTTCAGAATACATTCAGATCATCATGACATTGGAGGAGTCTGTGCAACATGTGGTCATGACTGCAATCCAGGAGGTTGGTTTATCAGTGCACCTTCTCACATGGAATAACCTTTCTGCCACACTTGGGTCAAAATGATGTCATTTTGACCAAAGGGCAGGATAATGGTATAGTAAACATGTTAAAAATGTTTTGTCGAGAAGTTGGAGAATTTTTGAATATGTCAGTAGCAGCTGTGGTTGGAGGATAGAAAGCATGCTTTCATGTGACTAATAAAGACTAAGCTCTCGTAATGTGTGTGCAATAAATCCTGGTGTTTTCTTCTTCAGCTGATGAGCAAAGACTCTACAGCCCCAACAGGAGCAGAGCTGCCAGGGGTCTTGGAACAGCAGGTCAGGGTTATTTCGACTGTTACTGCGTCTCTTTTGATTGGACTGTAATGATTGTACTTTCTGCTGTGCAAGTTTTCTTACAACGCTACAATTTAAAATGTGTTTCTAATGGGTCCATTGGTTTTTAACTTTAACAACTGGAAAACTAATCTCAATTTGGTGCATTTGTTTGCAGAACAGATTTATGAAAATGATTACCTTTTAGTGCAAATTGTAAATCTGTATCATATGAGGATTTTATGTATAGAAATTCTGTAGCAATTAATACAATTTTGACTGAAGAATTATAAAACCTTCTAAGTAGAGATGCACTGATTGGCTTTCTAGGCTGATTTTCATTTTTATAAAGCTCTCATTTGACATCTTAATTTTTCTGGTTTTATTTTTCTATGAGAACAATAAATACTTTACAATATTTTAAATTTTTTTCATTCAACCTTTATTTAGACAGGTAAATCCCATTGAGCCTCGAGGACTCATTTACAAGAGAGACCTGAATTCAACAAAGAATGATGACGACAATGGACGACAACGATAAACATTTAGAAAAAGTCATACAATTTTTTTTTTTTAACAAATAGGATGGCTAAAAATAAAGAAAAGTTAAAGAAAGAAAAGTAACAAAAAACAGCTAGATTCTAAGGTGAATGTAGAAAACTAAAAACAGGAACATGTCTGCATTGGTCCCTGCCAGGAGTCCAACAGATTACTGGTTAAACTGAAATTTTATTGTGTGTTTCTTATAAACTGTTTATGGGAGAAAGGAAGGCATTTACATTTTTTCCAAAATGCCACCAGGTTACACAGCTTTCTGCAAAGTTACCAATAATATATTCCATGTTATTAGACAGAGGTTTGTTGGTATAAATAAAACCCAACTAAAATATTACAGGCTAATTTTTTTCATTAAACAGGTATATCTTCCTCGTGGTTTTATTTTCGTGCACCTCAAAATTTCAAAGCATCATCACAAAGCAATCAACCTTTTCTATAAGTCATCAGTTTAACACCTCTGACTACCCATCCATTGTGTTAAATCCTTCATTACATGGCAAATTACAGCTTAAAAGACATTGTAAATAAGCTATTACATTTTAATATACCCATTAATTCAACCTTTATTTAGACAGGTTAATCCCATTGAGCCTCGGGGACTCATTTACAAGAGAGACCTGATTTACATTTGTTTCTAGTTACAAATTAAATGTCTCAATCTAAAATGGACTTAAGCATGTCACCAAGTTAAGTTTCACCACTTGTGCTTCTTCTAAATTTATTTTCAAACACCAAAAGATACAATAAATTGCTCATTTTTAATTTTTTCACTCAGTAAAAACTTAACATCAAAGACCTGCTGTTATTTGTGCAAATTATCCACATAATTATGGTGTATTCATAGACTACGAAAAATATTTTTATTTATTTAGTGTTGGGTTGTCATCGGTCAAACTTCTGGTCACCAGATGGTTAACTGGTGCATTCCTGCGTGGAAGTTTTGTGCCTTAAATTTTAGCCGCAGAACTATTTAATCAGTGCTTCTTGTTTTGTTACATTACAGTGCACATATTATGTGTTGAAAGTTCAGCTTCTCATTTCTGTGTCTAGCTGAAAAAAGCCCTTGAAGAGCTTTCTGAACTTCAGCTGGAAAAGGAGGCATTATCCCAACGCTGTCAAGAGCTGGACATGCAGGTGAATACAGAGAACACATTGAAGCTGTTCAAGCCATGAAATCTGCAGAAAACACACATTATAGTGCTGTGCATGCCCATCTAGGTTCAGTAACTTGTATTGCGCAGTCTATTAGCTCTTCTTGTGCGCACACATGCATACCTCTGGTGCAGTCTAAACAGGAGTTGTGTTGTTGGCTGTAATGCTTGAGTCCATTGTCTGGAGCTGCTGTGGCAGAGAGACAGCATGCTCACAGTCTGGTTCCACTGTGGCGTCCAGCTTGTGCTCTGCCTCTGCTAAAAGGCCTCACTCAACAATGCACAGACTGACTAAATTTAGCATAAGCACTGATCAACTATTCAACTGGACTCTCGACAGATTGATTTGGTCTGTCTCCTGTTTTTCTCTCCGCTCTGCGCAACGAGGTAAGTCCAATATGGCTAACTGTCGGGTTAAAAAAACAAACCTAAATGCTTCTAAACCAGCTGCTCAAATGTTTGCTCTAACTCAGCTAACTGAGGGTTCTATTTAAAACGAGTCATACAGTGCTTGTTTGGTCATTTTCTATAATTTAATAATCCATCCTTTTGTCTGCATTTGATAACCACTGTGTCTTATTCTTTAGAGAAACATTTAAAAACATCTTCATCATTGTATTGTAATATGATAAGTTAACAGGAGTTAAAACCAGCTATACTGATAGTTTTGTAATTTGATAGTATAAACATTGGACATGATTGTGCAAGAAATAGACAAAGAGGAAGGCCAAAGAGGAGATATATGGCTGCAGTTCGAGAGGACATGGAGGTTACAGAGGCATCAAACTACTGGAAGCTGCTCTGAAAGTACTGTATACGAAAGGGTAATGGAAAAGTGGATATGGTAAACAGTAAAAATACACTCCAGCCAGTTCAGATTCATGCCTGGAAAGGGCACAACTGACAGTTTTCATTCTCCGACTGGTTCAGGAAAAAAAATCTTAGAGGGAAACAATAGCAGATACTGGACTTTTGTGGGCTTGGAAAAGACTTTTGACATAGTCCCATGAGAGGTGGTTTATTGGAGCCTCAGACAGAAAGACATTACGGAAAAGCTAGTTCGGATTGTTAGCTCCATGTACCAAGGTGTTAAAACTGCAATCAGAACTGGCAAAGGCAACACAACAGTATTTGAGATTAAAATTGGTGTTTATCAGGGTTCATGTCTCAGCCCACTGTTGTTTATTGTTGTGATGGACGCAGTTACTGAGCTTATTAGGAGAGAAATGCCGTGGAATAAATGTTGTACATGACCTAATTGTGGCTGGAGATTCTGAAGTTAATCTCCAAGATAGTTTCAGATGGTGGCAGCAGCACTTGATAGTAAAGGTCTGAAAATAAACGCAGCAAAAACGGAGACCATGGTCTGCTCGCAAGCTAGCAAGACCTTAACAATTACTGATAACAGAGGATATGTACTGAAGCGGGTCGAAACGTTCAAGTATCTGGGGTCGGTGATAAATGCCAAAGGAAGCTGTGAAGAAGACAAACGCACAATTGTGTGGCAAAAATGGAAAGAGCTGACAGGAGTGCTTTGTGACAAAGGGATGCCGATTCATATTAAAGGGAAAGTGTACAAGGTGATGGTGTGCCCAGTCTTGCTTAGTGGAGATGAAGTATGGGCTTTAAAGAGAAAGGAAGAGGAACTCCTGGAAGGAACAGAAATATGGATGCTACGTGGGATCCTTGGAGTATCCCTCAAGCATAGACGGCGAATGACAATATTAGAAAAACGCTTGGCATGACATGCATCATGGATAAGATACAAGAATCAAGAATGAGATGGTATGGGCATGTGCAGCAAATAGAAGATGACAACAAGGTATAACGGCTATTAAACACAGAAGTTTTTGGTCAACGAAGCAGGGGACGGCAGAGGAAGAGGTGGATCGATATGATCCAGCGGGATATGATGACACGCCATCTCACAACAGATACACAAAACAGAGCAAAGTATAGAAGAAGAATCCATGTGGCTGACCCTGCCCTGAAAGGAGCGAGTCCTACAGGCTGAAGGAGAGCGAGAGAGAGAGAGGACATGGAGGTAGTTGGAGTGAGGACAGAGGATGCAGAGGACAGAATGAGATGGAGGAGGATGACTCACTGTGGAGACTCCTGAAGAGGAAACAGTCAAAACAAAAAGTAGAAGTTTTAGCGTCTTTCAGGCTGTTATTGTGAACTTTACAATAAATACAGAAAAAAGTTGTTCTGTTTTGTAATCTAGTCTTAGTTAAATGTATAAATATTATTTTTAGACACTGCAGTTTTTTTATTATTTTATTATTCAATCACTTCCTTTTAAGTGACTTCTAGTTCAGCAGCTGTTAAAGTAAGGGGTGAGAAGGGAAACTTGACTAATTGTGCATTAACCTGTTTCATTAAAGTGCATTTGGTATGTGCATCACTTCCTGCATGGATTAACTCATTGCTTCAACGCTAGGACTAAAAATTATTTTATTTCATATTTTTAAAAAAGGAATGGTCTTTTGATGATTAATTTCATTTCTGCTTTGCATGCAGTAACTGACCATGAAGAGTTTCAACTCGGCTGTTTCTTCTTGCTTCTTTAATTTACGCTAACATTGACATCAAACTTTTCAGAAGACCAGTTTTCATATCTTTTTGTTCCTGGCCAGGTGGCTGTTCTTCAAGAGGACCGGAACAGCTTATTGGCTGAGAATGATGTCCTAACAGACCGAGCCGATCATCTGGACACGTGTGAAGATCCAAGCTTGGTCTCAGGCAGAAAACACAACCAGTTACAGCAACAACTCGAGACTCTGCAGGAAGAGAACTTCAGGTTTTTCACTTTCATCTTCAGTGCACATTACTCTTTATGATAAATACCTGATGCTGATGTGCTGCTTCTAGGTTGGAGGCAGCCAAAGATGATTACCGGATCCACTGTGAAGAGCTGGAGAAGCAGCTAATTGAGCTTCAGCATCGTAATGATGAGCTCACCAGCTTAGCAGAGGAGTCACAGGCTCTCAGAGATGAGCTGGATGTTATGAGGTTTGTGTTCAATGGCAGATGTTGGGAGGGTTGGTCTTTTCTGGAAAAGCATTATTTTTAATATAGGGTGCAAAACACCTAATAAGAAATTTACAGCAAGTCTACTTGGCTATAGGGATAATTATTGTTTTTTTTGTTGTTGTTTGTTTGTTTGATTCGTCGGAACAAAATGGGAGCTAATTAATAAAATATTATTTTAACATGACAATGAGAGTAAGCTTTTTGCTCAGAATGAGATAGAAAAATAATAGTTTCTTTAGTTAGAGGTCCAAGCTCATGGTACAAAGAGAACGGGTCTGCAAAGCAGCAGCTTCTAGTGGAGCATGGAACACCTGTTGAAATTGTTTTTAGTATTATACTGCAGCCCAAACCTCAAAAATGATTGAAATTATATTTACATGATAGTAACTATGGCCTGCCTGTATGGCACAGAATAATACTCACCTATATCCACCTTTAAAAGATGTTATAATTGCAAATTGTGCATTTGGTTCCCTAACGTCTAAACTGTAGGTTGCAGGCTTTAATGACACATATCTACTTTTCCTGGATTCTACTGTCACACCCATTTCCATCAAATATATTTTTTTGCCGTTTATTTTTTTTTTTAAACTACTTTTCAAATGTTTAAAGTTGGATGGTTATACAAACTCACTATGTAAAATCTACATACAATACAGATTTTAAGTTTCCAAGAAAAAGTATTTATATTTTTGAACGTGAAAAATATACAAGGAGTGCAAGAGTTTGGTTTGCATTGCCATTAGTAAGACGGACTCTTTCAGCGTAAGAGTTGGACTCCACCAGGGCTTCCCATTGTTACAGAATGTTTTCATAATTTTTATGGACAGAATGTCTCGGTGCAGATGAAAGGGGTAAATGGACTGTACTGTACTTATATAGCGCCTTTCTATCTTATCAAGACTCAAAGCTCTTTACACTAAAATCTGTGCCCCATTTACCCATTCATACAGCACTCTACTAGAGCTATATAAAGATAAACAGAGCTTTATCACATTCATACACCGATGGGACACGCATCAGAGGCAATGAGGGGTTCAGTGTCTTGCCCAGGCACACTTTGGCATGTGACTGCTGGTGGAATAGAACCCCCAACTCTTGCATTGGAGGACGAATGCTCTGATCACTTAGCCACAGCCTCCCCACAAAGGGGCAGAGAGAGTCTGGTTTAGTGGCCTCAGGATTCCATCCATCAGTTATCTTTACCCACTTCTTCCTTTTTGGATTGCGGGGGTCGTTGGTGCCCATGTCCAGCCATCACTGTGCGAGAGGTGGGGGACAACCAGGACAGGTCAAACAACCACCCACACCTCACACACGCACACACACACACACGAGACAATTTAGAGTTACCAATCAGTCTAACATGCATGTTTTTTGGTCTGTGGGAGGAAACCAGAGTACCCGGAGAAATCACGCACGGAGAGAACATGCAAACTCCACACAGAAAGACCCCTGGCCGGAATTTGAACCGGGACAACCTGCTCACTGAGAGGCAGCAGCTCTACCGACTGTGCCACTGTGCTGCCCGCCTCAAGATCCTGTTGGCACCTTTGTGCCATGATTTCCAGCTCTCACTGGAGCAGTTTACAGGCAAGTGTGAAGCAGCTGGAATGAGGATCAGCACCTCCAAATCTGAAGCCATGGTCCTCAGTCGGAAAAAGGTGGATTACCATTTCCAGGTTGGGAGTGAGGTTCTGCCTCAAGTGGAGGAGTTCAAGTATCTCCGAGTTTTGTTCACGAGTGAGGGAAGAAGGGAGGCGTGTGATTGACAGTTGGATCGGTGCAGATGACCAGTCGGTCTATGTTCCAACCCTCACCTACAGTCACAACCTCTGGGTAGTGACCAAAAGAATGAGATGGTGGATACAAGCAGTCAAATTGTGTTTTTACTGCAGGGTAGCTGGACTCTCCTTAGAGATAGCGTAAGAAGGTCAGTTATCTGGGAGACTCGGAGTAGAACCGCTGCTCCTCCACATCGAGAGGAACCAGTTGAGTTGGTTTCGGCATCTGGTAAAGATGCTCCCTGGGCACCTCCCTAGGGAGGTTTTACAGGCATGTCCTACTGGGAGGATACCCCAGGGAAGACCTATGATACGCGGGAGAAACTATGTCTCTCAGCTGGCCTGGGAAGTAAGTAAAGTAAGTAAGTAAAACTTTATTTATATAGCGCTTCTCAAGATAAAAATCACAAAACGCAAACTCCTTGGAGTCCTCCCAGAAGAGGTGGCTGTGGAAAGAGATGTCTGTGTCTTTCTGCTTATGCTTTTGCCCCCACTACCTGACAAGCAGAATATAATAGATGGATGAAGGGATGTGGATATGTTTAGTTTTGGCAAGCTTGCTAAACACAAGTTTAGTCATATCTTCAAAATGTGTAACACTAATTAAAATGAAATTCAGTTTGTTGTTGGGGGAGTTCATTCAGAGTTACTGAACCAAATTTGACCAACTTTGACATATAGAGGGCGCAGTAACGTGCAAAAATCTGTCCCAAAAAATGACTGTTGGATGTTAAGGAAATATGGCACAGACCTTAAGGACTGCCTTAAACTTAAATCTAAAAGGTAATTATGCAAAAATACAGTGGGCATGGCCTACAGCATTATGAAAAAAAAAAGGAAAAGAAAGATTAGGAAAAATTATTCACAAAATCAGTTATGGATCCAGAGATTTTGAGAAGCTTTTATAAAACAAACATAATGTACATTAACTGTGGGTGTGGCTTGTAAATGATGTACTTTAAAAAAAAATCACACTTTTAACCTACCAAGCTAACATTTTCAGGACATTTTCTTCAGTGCATACCAAATTTCTGATACTCGGACTTCTGATATTTTAAAATATTTATTCATTTTTTGATGAGGAACTTATGTAAGCAGCAAAATGCTGTTAAGATGGAGTCACCTTTTTCAATTACTAAGAAAATTAGTATGGGTGATTGACAGGCTGACTGTCTTGGTCAAAATATTTTTAATTTTTCTTAATGGATTCAATTATCTCCATTTTTTTTTTTTTTGCTCACAGTTCACTGTAAATCAACCTTAAAATGACTCCATCATGAAATAAGTGTCAGGTTTGCAAGTTTGTCGCTGTGCAGGGGATAACAGGAGACCGGGTTGAAATGCCTTACTTGGCTTGGACCCGGTCAGAACTGCTTGCAGTTCTAGTTTGTTGTTTTAATTGGATTATCATGACTAAAAGAGCCAGTGAACAGATGCTACTTTGACAGCACAATTTAAACTAAAACTCTGAACATAAACTGATTTGCAGCAGGCCATGAGCTCAGTATATGTTACCATGGTGATCTAGACGGGCTTAAATAGAGCGAGGTTTGTGACTGAAAGACTCAACATACCTGACAAAGCCCCTACAGTTTATTTTTGGTCTGTTTAACACTTATTTTAAATTTTACTCCTTTTTTCCATACCAACTACTTCTACCTTTAAGAACATGAAGTTATTAATCTACGTTTCTGTTTAGGTCCTGCTGTGTTTTTAACACTTCAGATTAGGCCTGTCACGATAACAAATTTTGCTTGGCGATTAATTGTCTCAGAAATTATTGCGATAAACGATAATATTGTTTGAAATTGGACAATAATTAGTAATTACTGTCAAATTGAAGAAAATAATGTTGGTTAATTTTTGTGTGTAGTACCTTTTTGACCCCCAGATGGCAGTATAAGACGGTTTGAACGAAAGGCTGGATATTGAGGGAGGGAGCAGAGTCTCTTTAAGAAAATGGGAGGGAGGCCTCTTGACGTGATATGGGCTGTCTCTTTTCGGTTCTCAAAATGGTGGACGCTTGGTGTGGTTTGAGCTCTTATTTTTCACACAAAGCTTTTAATAAAAATATCAGTAAACAAGTTCTCAGCTTCTTTTTGCTGGGACAAACTTTTTACATGAAGGCACGGGTTTCAACCATGAATTTTGGAGCTTCGACAAGACGGAGGTTTTTTCCCCGAGGTCATCCTGTTAGCTTAGCTTGTAGCTTAGCTTCTCAGCTTAGCTGCTTTTAATGATCCTAAAATGTGATTTTGGATGGTTAAAATGGATTTTAAAGAGAAAGGGAGGGGTCAGTGAAGTTGAGCTTTTTGTCATCCAATGTCTTCAGTAGAAAGAGAGAGACACAAAGAAACGATAAAGTCAGTAAATGAAAATGAGGTAGATAATTTTCATTTATCATGTGATTAATTGATTTATTGTTTATAGCAACAGGCCTACTTCAGATCATGTTTGAAAGTTGTGTTGGATTCTTGTAGGAACTGCTCAGATCGGGTAGTGATGCTAGAGGCTTCAGTGGAGACCTACAAGCGTAAGCTGGAGAGTCTTGGTGACCTGAAGAGGCAGATGAAGATGTTGGAGGAGAATAACATGACCTACATGCAAAACACCGTCAGCCTGGAGGAGGAGCTGCGTAAAGCAAACGCTGCCCGTTCACAGCTGGAATCATACAAAAGACAAGTAAGCACAAACTTTAAAGTGTTGGTTCATTTTAAATGTTGCTTTTTCTGAAGAGAAAATGTTACGTTATGTTTTTTCTTTTGTTTTAAGGTCCAGGAGCTTCACAGGAAGTTGTCTGAGGAGACGAGGCGAGCAGACACTATGGCTTTTGAAATAAAGAAGTTGGAGGAAAAACACGAAGCTGTGATGAAAGAAAAAGAGGTCCAGCAACTTAGGAAATACATCAGCAATACATTATTTCCGATAAAACGTTAATTTTTCCTCTGTTTGAAAATTTGGACTCCTTTAGAGGATCATCATTGAGAGAGATTCTCTCAAAGAAATTAATGAGGAGCTTCGATGCGCTCAAGCTCAGGAGCATCAACTCTACCAAGCAGGTATTTCATCACACAATCCTCAATCCTGTAATGACGACGCTGCCTAATGGCAATTTGCTGATTCCTTACTGCTTTGTTTCCTGGTAGGGATGCTTCCTTCTGGCAGCCCAAGCCATGAAAACCTGGCAGCTGAGCTTTTGCCTGTTGAATACAGGTAATATCTTACTGGTTTGTTGTAAGGCTTGTATTGTATCTGTTATGTGGGTGAGCAATGATTTGGTGTGTTCATTCAGAGAAAAGTTCATCAGACTGCAGCACGAGAATAAAATGCTGAGGGTGCAGCAGGAGGAATTCGAGCAGGAGAAGATTTCCACCCTGCAGGCCCAGCTGGAAGAAGCAGATAAGACTCACAGTGAACTGAAAACTGAGAACAGGTGAACAGTTTTTATATAGTTCTGGTGACTTCATTCTGAATAAATCCTTCCTGCTTCTTTACCTTCCTCTGCTTGCTCAATCTGTAGACTGAGTCAAGAGCGAGTCAGTGAGCTGCAGCAGCAGGTTGAAGATCTCCAGAAGGCTCTGCAGATTCAGGCAATCAAACCGGACAATGTAAGTGTCTCAAAATCTACTGGCAGAAAGACAGAGACCAGTATTTTTTAATCAGCATGTATTCAAAAGTATTGCTCTTACAGAGTATTTTATTTCGATTTCTTTCAATCTACAATCATTTTGTTCATTATTTTTTTAAAGTCAAATCTGAAAAGGAAACTGGATGCTCACATGTGAGTATGGTTGTGCACATGTACATCTACAGTAATATAAAATAAGATGTTCTTGAGCAGGAGGTGATCTTCTTTATGTTTCAGGGTCCAGCTGAATGAGGCCCAAGATGAAATCATGAAGAAGAAAGAGCTGCTGGAGGATCTTCAGCCTGACAAAACTCAGACTTGTAAGTTTTATGGTTTATCATCATTGTGACCTACTGTCAACACACACACACACACACACACACACAAAACTCAAACTGTTGATGATTCCTTGTTTCTAAGCTCTGAAGCTGGAAGAACTTACGGCGGCTCTGAAGAAAAAGGATGACGACATGAAAGCCATGGACGAGAGGTATAAGATGTACCTGGAAAAAGCTCGCAATGTAAGTTACATTTTCTTAGTTTATTATTTATCATTTATTATTATTTAGTTCATTTATACAGCGACAAGTCACAACAGAAGTTGTCTCAGGGCACTGTACAAAAACATTCATATACATTAAAAAAAGTCAATTAATAAAAGTTATAGGAAGCAGCAGATTGTGTTTAATCTTAACTTCGTTGCATCTCCCATCCTGAGTAAGCACAAAGGCAACTGTGAAAAGGAAAAACTCCCTTTAACAGAAAGAAACCTCCAGCAGAACCAGACTAAGGCAATTGGCCATCTGCTTTGACCAGCTGGGGTTTGAGAGAACAGGAAGGAGAAACAAACAGAATGACAGGTCCAGGTGTACTTTATATAGGAGGAAAGACAGACAAAGAAACACATGTCAAAGATACAAATAATTACAAACACAAACAGGTTGAGTAGGGCAAGTAAAGACAGCAGCAGAGTGAGACAATGTGATCAGTTTGTCCTCTAGAAGTCTAAGCCTATAACAGCATAACTAAGGGATAGCTCAGGAAACCCCTAACTATAGGATTTATCAAAAAGTAAAGTCTTAAGCCCAGTCTTCAAACTGGATAATGTGTCAGCCTTATGGACAGAAACTGGAAGTTGGTTCCACAAGAGAGGAGCCTGATAAATGAAAGAGCATCCTCCCATTCTTCTTTTGGAAACTCTAAACCACAAGTAAGCCTGCAGTCTGAGAGTGAAATGCTCTGTTAGGAAATATAAAACAATAAGATCTGTAAAATAAGATGGAGCTAGGTTGTTGAGGGCTTTGTAGGTTAGAAGTAGGATTTTGAATTCAATTCTGAATTTGACAGGGAGCCAATGGAGAGAAGCTAAAACTGGAGAGATATGATCTCTCCCACTAACTCCAGTTAAGACTCTGGCAGCAGCATTTTGGATCAACTAGACTATGACTTTTTAAAGAAGTATTTGGACACCCAGATAATAAGCCATTACAATAGTCCAGTCTAGACGTGACAAATGTATGAACCAGTTTTTCTTCATTTCATTTTTAGATAAGATGTTTCTACTCTTAATGATATTACACAGGTGGAGGAAAGTGGTTCTGGTAATATTTATAATGTGGTTAAAAAGCATGTCCTGATCAAAAATAACACCAAGATTTTTAACTTCAGAACTGGAGGCCAGATTAATGCCATTCATAGAAAGACTGCAAAATTTATTCCTAAAATATCAGATTAAATGTATTATACCAATAATATTTTACTTTTATTCTGTCTTTTTCTTGAAGGTCATACGAGCCTTGGACCCAAAGCTGAATCCTGCCACTGCTGAAATTCAAGCTCTGAAAAACCAGTTAAAAGACCGAGACAAACACATTCTTAACCTTGAAGTAAATCTGCTTTTTCTCTCGATACGAATGAGACAAAATTTTCAGGTCACTTTTTTCATAATAGATGTTTGACTGATTTCTCTTCTTTAGCGTCAGTGTGAGCAGGCCAAGTTAAAAGAGTATGAGGAAAAGCTGATTGTCACTGCCTGGTATAATAAGGTAAATTAAAACTGCCTCATATTTCTTACTGCACAACAATCTGCTGCGTTTCGTGACACTCGGCTTACTCCACAAATGACTTACTGTGTCCCCAGAGTCTGAGCTTTCAAAAGTTGGCTATGGAAACCCGTCTTGCAAGCCGCACCTCCTCTGGGCTCTCCCCCAGTCATTCCTTCTTGTCACAGCAGCGCCAAGTCTCCAACGCCCCACGCAGAACTGCTTCTATCAACGTGCCTACCTCCACCTCCAAGTAGACTGTGTCATAGCACCACATTATTCAGACAAGACACAAATGCACAAACCTTCAAACACATGAGCACTCAAGTGACCTTATGCACACCTGCTGTCAGCCTTTGAGGAGGGGTCAGGGTTATTAGAGTTGGATGAATGAGCACTTATCAACAGGAACCCGAGCTTAAAGTGTAATGAAGTTTTACTCCACTGCAGGACATTAACTCACCAGCCAAAGCAACACGTGCTGCCCTACGCATGGTTTTTTAGTGAATGTCCACTCTGCTCAGTGATTTTAGCTTTTCCCCTGCACATAGAGTGCAATAATAACCAATTTAACTTTGTCTCCTTCATATATACACAGTAATATAGATGTATTTAATCAGGAATGAAGAAGAGCACATATGTATGCAAATGTGTAAATGTTTTTTTTAAGAATATGAACCTGTTAAATTAATATTGTGTATTGGAAGAGGTGAACTGAATACAAAAGCCAGCTAATGAGACTAATGATATGTGTAAATGATGTTCTCACTCCATGCAGGGAATAATATGCAGACTGGAAAAAACACAAACCTTGCTTTCAGGTAACGTCATATTTGGTGCATGACGTGGTTTAAACATTTCAGGTGTTTTACACTAAAATGGAATGAGCTCATCATTTCACATGCAGTGAAAATAAGTTCAGTCATATGAACAGTAATCATTCTGTAAAGTGTTATACAGTAGTCTCGATTATCGCGGGGGTTACGTTCCACACACCCCCACAATAAGTGAAAAACTGCAAAGTAGAAACGCTATATTTATTTTAGTATTTATTTATATTTTAAGACTTTATATACCCTTCCCACACTCTTGCTATGTTCTAAACTCTTAAACCGGCATAATTTTAACAGCATACGTATATGTACTGTACAGTACTGCAAAATTTTATATGGGTACTCACCAGCCTTGGTCCGGTTCTGGTCCGGTTCTGATCAGCTCTCCGCAGCCGTTGAGCACCAGACGCTTTTGTAGAGAGCCGGACCTTCGGAGAGCCAGCACAAAACCACACAATGGTCCCAGTCGAGTCCAAATAATCCACAAGAATCCGGATGAAAAAAGTCCGGGTGAGCTCGGGAGAAGACAATGGATCTCCAAGCAACACCTCCCCGCTCGAGAGGCTTCATGGACCGGCAAGCAGCTCTCAGATTGACCAATGAGGCTGGAAGTAGTTCTGCTCCGGTTCTGGTCTGGTTCTGATCGGCTCTCTGCATCCACTGAGCGCCAAAATCACTATGAATAAGGACCAAACTTTTTAATCGGGTTTGGATCAGAGCAAAACTTTCCCTCCTTTTCGGCAGAAAGCAGTGGGTGGAAGCACTGTTGGCTTCTGGGTAGTGTAGTTATTTTGGACTGGTGATACAATATAGGCTTATTGAAAGAAAACTACAAAATGCCGGCACCTGCCCAAAGTTTTTTTAAACTTTTTATCTGTACCATCCCAATCGAATGAGTAATACTAAAGATGACAATCGTTGAAAAACTACGAAAGACAAACTGCGAAGTTGTGAGGTACTACTGTATCACCAAATCCTAGGAGATGAATCCCAGTACATCTCTGCAAAGTGGTGTACTGGCAGCAGTGAAAACTGACAGGCCTTTATTTCACAAAATATCTTTATATTAGGGACTGCTATAGAAAAGCAAAAGAACAGAGAGTGCGTTACTTCATAACACCTTTTATTATCCACCTCCACTGGTCTCTTAATTTTATATAGTTTTAATTCTGACATCAACATTAATGTGGCCCGAATGACAAAGTGCACCCCCACAAATTGTAGATCAAAATGACCGGCTCAGTCACGAGATGAATATTATCACTTTTAATGGCGTTTCACGTCACCATAGCGATGCAAATTGCAAAAAAAAAAAAAGCCATTTTAACTCTTTTGAAACAAGCAAACGAAACTGTCAATGTCATAAGAAAACAATATAAAGGCACATTATGAGGGTTAAGTTTGAAAATAACAATTTATGGACTTTTGTCCTATAAATTTTGTCCCATGAACCTCCATCACATGGTTAATGCATATCAAAAATTTAAAAAGGCCACAAAATGGCAGTCCCCGTCAAACTTATTCTAGGAACTTTCTAGTTCCTATTCACTAATCATTCCTGTGATACAAAGTTAACATTGAAACTTGATTCTACACCAGCTTTAAATCCAGACGCCAGAACATTGTTAAACTCACACAGAACCTGTCATATGTAACATAAAAGCTTCTTAAATTTTCTGTTGTGTTTTTAGACTAATACATGAGTTGCAAAGTACAAACTATAGTCTTTCAAGATTAAGGTTGATATTTTTTTCCCTAAAGTATAGTAGTTTACCTGTTTTAATTTAACCTCCTAAAGAGGGTGCTAATTGCCTTCTCACTGAATGCTGGCACTAACATTTTTGGGCTGTTTATTATGATATTGCCACATGTTGATATATGTTGGTAATAGTCACTTTGTTTGTCTGTAGCAAATGAGTTGTGCAAATATTAGTTTTAAAGAAGTTTTACTTATAATAGAGAAGTGCAATCAAAGGTATGACAGGATCCCCATGAGAAATGTCAAATGTATGTGTGCAAATCATAAAAGAAATTTATCAGGAATTTTAAATGTTATGCTGTTTTTGTCAATAAACTGATTTTCTAAAATTGCGATTTTTGTAATCGCATGCATCACATTGTTGTTTCAAAAGTGAAAAAAATTGGTCTTGCACTTTTGAAGACAAAACTACAAAAATAAGTCAAGTACTGTCATGATCAGTGGTCTCTGCTTGTCCCCCATCTGTTCAAGTCTCTTTCCCTTTATTCCTTTATCACGTCATCTGTTCCCTGCCTCGCTCACAGCTCCTCATGTCATGTTTCTGCTCAGTCACTCTGCCACGCCCCCTCGTTCAGCTCATCAGCACCGATTCACTGCACCTGTTACCTGCACTTTTTAAGAGCTCCATTCTCACTAGTCCCTTGCCAGATTATTAAACTCATGGTCCCTGATATTCAATCCATTCATAGTTTCTTGTTTCATGCCTGAACCTGAAGCCTTGCTATTTGTATTACAAACTCACACCTGTTTCCTGGATTATTCACTTTGCCTGCCCTTTGCCTGATTTGGATTACTCCTGCACATGGTATCAACCCCTGCTTTCTCTTCTACGAGCACACCTCAAGGTTTATGTTTTGGATTTATTACTGGGATCGACTCACGGTATATGACCCTCGCCTGTGTTCTGGACTTTGTTCTTGGATTTTCCCCTCTGACCACACTCTTCTCAGCTCTGCTTTGCAGCTGCTTTTCACCAAGTGACAGTCATCCTGCCCAGCTCCAACAGGTGGCACCCAACTCGCCAGCTTGATAAACTCTTGTCCTGCCTGTGAGGACCTGTCACCACAGCTGGATCCTGACTCTCCAGCAGCTAATATCAATAAATCTATTTTCTTGTTTTTACACTCTTGTTGTCTGGCTGAATTATAAATCCATAAACTTTGACTCTTGACAAGTACTGAAACATAATATTAAAAAAAGCATTAATTCACTGCAACATGATGATGAAAGCATTAATTCACAAGTGATTTAATATAAAAACATATAACTGTAATGTACTTGCTTTAAATATACATTTTTTGACATTGTGTTTATTTGTGTAAAGTGCCAAGTAGGAAGAAACAGACTTTATTATGAAAGTTTGTGAATGATAAGTTTCTTTGCTTTATCCATCCATTATATTTACCTGCTTCTTCCTTTTTGGGTCACTGGTGCCCATACCCAGCAGTCACCTGGGGACACCTAAACACGTCTCCAGTCCATCACAGACACATCGAGACAAATGAAACAACCATTCACTCTCTCACTCACACCTAGGGACAATTTAATGTTACCAATCAGCCTAACATGCATGTTTTTGGTCTGTGGGAGGAAACTGGAGTACCTATAGAAAATCCATGCATGCACAAACATGCAAACTCCGCCCATAAATGCCCCTGGCCGGGCTTTGATTGGGAGACCTTCTCGCTGAGAAGCGGCAGCTCTACTAACTACGCCACCGTGCTGCCCTTATTGTTTTATTCTTGATCATATTTTGACAGTTGGAAATAAAATAAATTACCACATTTACATATAAAATTAAATGTTATAAATGAACAAAGAGTATGCAACAGTGATCTATAGCATATACAAGTATAAAACGACCATGGACAATATTTACACAGTGATAACATGTATGTACACAAAGTATGTTTTTACTTTTCTGCTGCAGTTGCTTGATTGGATGTAGGCTGCACATCAGAATGGGGTTTGGCAATGATCGTAAATGGGTATGGTGAGCGTGTGGCTCCAGTTATTCCTTCTGCACTGAGCTTAACTCCATCCAGAGTGGAAAAGTGAAACCTCTGACACAAACCAACAAAGAATAAAAAAAGCTCCGTCTTTGCCAGGCTCTCACCGAGACATGCACGCTTTCCTGGAAAGAAAAACATTCATCATCTCACAGGCCTGTTATTTCTGTGTCCTCTTCATACAGTTTCTAAAGAGAATTGGTTGTTATTCATGACACGAATACAGTCAGGTACAGAATGTGCTTTCTACCTGCAGAGAAAGGTAAAAATGCTTCCCTTCTTTTGAACTTCCCCTCCTCATCCAGGAAGTGTCCAGGGTTGAAAACATTGGGAGTTTCCCATTCATTCTTGTCAAAGAGCACAGAGGTCAGGTTGGGCATCACAGTAGTCCCCTGCAAACACACACACACACACACACAACAATAACCAGATTAATCCATCCATCCATTATCTTTTAATTACTTCTTCCTTTACGGGTTGCGGGGATCACTGTGCGAGAGGCGGGGACACCCTGGACAGGTCACAAGTCGGTCATGTCAGATATGTAAATATAGTTTACATAATAAATGTAATATGGTCAGGAGTTGTATCTTGTAGCAGCAAATATGAAAGATAAACAATGACTGTAAACATGTTGACCGTGCATTCTCTTCATTCAGGTGCAGCCCAGGGGTCTGCAACCTGGAACAAGTGTAAAGAGTCAAACATACTTTAACTTTATGCTTTATTTCTATACGTAATTATTTTTTCCACAATTCAAAAAATGACATAGGTTTGCATAGTTCATAGGTTTTATTAATTTTGAACTCTATCCCCCCCCCCCACTGTCTTTTTATTTATTTAAAATTGTAAAAATATCAATAAATGTTAAAAATCATTAGATATTTTTAGCTTTATAAAGTCACCCCCTAGTGACCACAAAAGTCTCCTCCAACAAACCTAAAGTGGCCCATGAGCCACCAGTTGATAACCACAGTTGTAGCATGTTGTTGAAGCTCTGAACAATTTTTAATTTAGTGAACAAAGGCGTAAAAATGGCTGTTTTGATTGTAAAGGTTGCAGACCCCGAGTTAGACTGTGTATGTACTAACATGTAAGATTAGGCTGCTGTTGTCTCTACCTTTGGGATGATGTAACCATCCAGTTTTGTGTCTCTGGAAGCCACTCTAAGTCCATTCAGAGGAACAATGTTGCCCATCCTCTGGATCTCGTGGATGACGGCCTCTGTGTACGGCATGTGGGGTTTGTCTGCCATGCTGGGCTGTCGGGTCGGCCCAATCACTCTGTTGATCTCTGCCTGCACTTTCTCTTCAACGTAAATCACATTTAGTTAATTATCTTCAATATAAGCTTCTTTTTAAATATATTTTCTTGTTAAAATGGGTGCTTTTTGAGCTCACCTTGAATATGAGGATTCATAATGAGGAAAATAAGTCCCCACTGCAAAGTCTTTGACGTGGTCTCACTGCCCGCCAGGAACAGATCCAGGCAGCACAAAACCAAGTTCTCCTCCTCAAAGCCAACATCAGTCTCTCTGTTGTGCTGTGGAGAAAAGTAGAGCATAAGCACATTCAGTTTCTAAACGTGATAGATTTAAATTAAAGTTGTCTAGTTCTGTGGAGCTGAATGTGGGCACTGTACTTTCTCCTCCATAAGGAACTTGTCGATGTAATCAGAAGGGTTACTTGGGTCCAAATTCAACTTGTGTCTCTTGATCTCTTTCCTGATACAAGCCCTTAGACATTTAGAACTGTCAAAGATGCCATTGTGAGGGCCTGGCAGGCGTTTCATCAGTGCTGGGAATGCATCGTAAAGCTGTTTGAAGAGAAAACGAGAAAATCATGAAGTTGTGGTTGAATTAATCTCATAAAAATATCTAAAGAAAATTAATTCATTCAACCTTTATTTCTACAGGTTAGTCTCAATGAGCCAGAGAGACCTGTTTTTAACAAAGAACACAGATGAGGTACAGACAGCAACAGACAGTCATATAAACAGCATATAAAATGAAAAGTAAATAGAAGAAATTAAATAAAAACAAAGTAAAACATAAAGCGGTGTAAAATACTAAAAACAGGAACATGTATGCGATGGTTTTTGCCATGAACTTAGCAGTTGTTTAAAATCCCTTAGAGAGGTCAAGGTCAACAACTTCAGATCATTTTTGCAAGATATTCCAGGATACAGGAGTGGAGTAAGAGAAGGCCCTGTTGTCAAGTTCAGTCCTCACTGAGGGAACACTGCAGGTAATAATGTCCTGAGAGCGCACGCTGTAGCTGCACTCACGCAGAGACATGTAGGAGGAGATGTATGAAGGCAACAGACCAAGAAGTGATTTAAAGATGAAAATGTATCAGTGACAGAGTCTACAGTGTCTTGCGAAAGTATTCGGCCCCCTTGAACTTTTAAACCTTTTGCCACATTTCAGGCTTCAAACATAAAGATATAAAATTTTAATTTTTTGTGAAGAATCAACAGCAAGTGGGACACAATCGTGAAGTGGAATGAAATTTATTGGATGTGTCAAACTTTTTGAACAAATAAAAAACTGAAAAGTGGGCGTGCAATATTATTCGGCCCCTTTACTTTCAGTGCAGCAAACTCACTCCAGAAGTTCAGTGAGGATCTATGAATGATCCAATGTTGTCCCAAATGACTGATGATGATAAATAGAATCCACCTGTGTGTAATCAAGTCTCCCTATAAATGCACCTGCTCTGTGATAGTCTCAGGGTTCTGTTCAAAGCGCAGAGAGCATCATGAAGACCAAGGAACACACCAGGCAGGTCCGAGATACTGTTGTGGAGAAGTTTAAAGTCGGATTTGGATACAAAAAGATTTCCCAAGCTTTAAACATCCCAAGGAGCACTGTGCAAGCAATCATATTGAAATGGAAAGAGTATCAGACAACTGCAAATCTACCAAGACCCGGACGTCCCTCTAAACTTTCATCTGGAACAAGGAGAAGACTGATCAGAGATGCAGCCAAGAGGCCCATGATCACTCTGGATGAACTGCAGAGATCTACAGCTGAGGTGGGAGAGTCTGTCCATAGGACAACAATCAGTCGTACGCTGCACAAACCTGGCCTTTATGGAAGAGCGGCAAGAAGAAAACCATTTCTCAAAGATATCCATAAAAAGTGTTGTTTAAAGTTTGTCACAAGCACCTGGGAGACACACCAAACATGTGGAAGAAGGTGCTCTGGTCAGATGAAACCAAAATGCAACTGTCTGGCCACAATGCAAAACGATATGTTTGGCGTAAAAGCAGCACAGCTCATCACCCTGAACACACCAACCCCACTGTCAAACATGGTGGTGGCAGCATCATGGTTTGGGCCTGCTTTTCATCAGCAGGGACAGGGAAGATGGTCAGAATTGATGGGAAGATGGATGGGGCCAAATACAGGACCATTCTGGAAGAAAACCTGTTTGAGTCTTCAAGAGACCTGAGACTGGGACGGAGATTTATCTTCCAACAAGACAATGATCCAAAACATAAAGCCAAATCTACAATGGAATGGTTCACAAATAAACGTATCCAGGTGTTGGAATGGCCAAGTCAAAGTCCAGACCTGAATCCAATCGAGAATCTGTGGAAAGAGCTGAAGACTGCTGTTCACAAACGCTCTCCATCCAACCTCACTGAGCTCGAGCTGTTTTACAAGAAAGAATGGGCAAGAATTTCAGTCTCTCCATGTGTAAAACTGATAGAGACACACCCCAAGAGACTTGCAGCTGGAACTGCAGCAAAAGGCGGCGCTACAAAGTATTAATGCAAGGGGGCCGAATAATATTGCACGCCCCACTTTTCAGTTTTTTATTTGTTAAAAAAGTTTGACACATTCAATAAATTTCATTCCACTTCACGATTGTGTCCCACTTGATGTCGATTCTTCACAAATAATTAAAAATTTATATATTTATGTTTGAAGCCTGAAATGTGGCAAAAGGTTGAAAAGCTCAAGGGGGCCGAATACTTTCGCAAGGCACTGTATGTGAAGTTAATGATGACCAGTTAACCAGTAAATACAGGGTGCAGTGATGGGTACGATAGTTACAGCCAGTTATGAATCTTAGCGCACCGTGATAGACAGCATCAACATCTGCAGGGTACTTGTAGGAGCGTTCATGTAAATAATGTTGCCATAGTCAACGAAGGAGAGGAAAGTAGCAGTTACAAGGTGTTTCCTAGCGTTCAGAGTTAGACAGGATCTATTTCTGAAAAAGAAATCCAGTTGAACTTTTAGTTTCTTTACCAAGTTTTTGACATGAGGCTTGAAAGAGAGATGCAAATTGACCAGAATACCCAAGTATTTATAAGAATCAACAAACTCAAAAGGGACACCATTCAAAGATAAAACAGAAGGAAGGACTGCTGGGACCGACTTCCTGTTTGAAAACAAGATCCCTTCGGTTTTATCAGAATTTAGCACAGGTTTGCGATGAAACAAATCTGACTGGATGATGCTGAAAGCAGACTGTAAAAGCTGTAAAACAGTACCAAGTGTTTTAGCTTGACAATAGGCAACTGTGTCGTCGGCATAAAAATGTAAGGATGCATCTGGAATGATCATTACTTATGTTGATTGTGAAGAGGGTGGGCCCTTAGACTGAACCTTGCGGAAGAAGTACCAAAATAGACAAACCGACTGGCGATTCTATATTTTTAATTCAACGTAACTTTTCTGTTTTTCTGTTGTTACTTTAGTAACAGGTCAAGTGAAATAAGAAATGTTCAGATTCAGGTTACTGGTAAGTATTGAAATTTATGTTTGCTGTGATTGAGTTTTATCCCCTTCTTACCAGAGCCCAGATGGAGCCTTCCAGATAGGCCATGATTGTCAGATTCTTCAGCATGGTCTGGAAGTCATAGTCATTGTAGTCAAACCGTCTCCCAAACACAATTTGGCAGATGATGTTGGATACTGCATTGTTCAAGCATGGGACAGGGTCAAAGGCCTTGCCTACATATAGAGAAATGAAGAAACTGAGTCGTGGTGCACTGTTAGAAGATCAAAGAAAATGTAGGTAAACAAAAACTCTTGTCAACCTTCCTTCGTCCCCATCGCCTCCTGCAGGTAACGACTCTCCTCACAGACTCGCCCCTCCACGGAGCTTTTGGCCACAACAGAGGTGCGTAACACGGCCATGGCAAAACGCCGCTGTCTCCTCCACACCTTCCCATTGCTGAAGAAGAGTCCCGCTGACATAAAACAAAATGAAACCAACGTCACTCGTGCTGGTGGCGGATGTACTTTTTTTCATTACGACGTAAAATGTGTGTGTTTTGTAAATTTGTGTGATTTACCTGAGTTTCCTGAATAAATCCGAGTCACCATGGGGCTGTACGGTCGATCCACAAAGTTTTCAGCCTGCGTCACTAAAGCCTCCTTCACCATCCTCCACCCCGACACAAACACTGTTTTATGTCTTCCCAGACGAATGCAGAACACATTACCGTAAACATCAGCAAGCTGTGAATGCAGAAGCGGAGAATAATGGTCAATGGTTTATTGTGCAGCATGTGACTCTTTACTCAATCTGCAGTCTCCCTCAATATCCAGCATTTTCTTTAAACTGAAATATGTTTAGAAGAAAACAGAAGCTAGTTTAGACAACCACTGTCTATTTGATTGTGCTGTTCACGTAGACTTTTCAGAGTCATGTACAACAATTTATAGAAATGCTACCAGATTACCTTGGTGAGGTAAATATGAGGCTGTCTGTATTCAATACTGAAGATGTTCCCCAAAATCGGAAAAGCTGGTGGTCCTGGAGGAAAGCTCGGAGGATCCTTTTCTTGTAACCAACACACCAGGAGGAGAACAACAAAGACAAAAAGCAGGATTTCTACCAGATAAAACCACAAGCTGAAGTCACCTCGCCACATTATGACGAAGAATTAAAGAGACTGATCAGCAGTTCTCTGCACATCATCCATTCCTGGTTAGGAATGGGCTGGCACTCTGTTGACTAACAGCTTGGGGAGGAATAATGAACAGTGTGACGTTGACTCACCCCTTTATTTCCTGAATACACAATAGGTAAAATATTACAACGACAAAAAGTTAGTCTTTCATACAAGAAGCTGTTAAGTAAAACTGTTTGACTGTTAAAACAGATTATTTTAAAGTCAAAATGTTGGATTTATTTCTTCTGCTAATGAGGGGGTTAAGGTTAAAGTAGACATGTTGCAAAATCTGTTACGTTGTAAATGTGATTTAAAAAAAAACATTACAACTATTGGTAGCACTATTGCTATCTCGTTTTTTTTTGTCAACTTATAATGTGGAATGCTTATAGCTGTAAGAGACAGAATGTGGAAAAGTGTAGACATTTGTTGCTCTTGTTAAATAAATAAATAAAAACTAAGTATTTTTTTTTTTTAAATATGAACCAAAATAAAACATAAAATACAGCAAAGAATAAGTCCTGATGCATGCGCAATAATCCAGGTAGATGAATCTAACAAAGTTGAGTCAAGTCCTCTGGATGGATTCTTCTTTTTTCAAATGTTTCGTCTTTTATCCGAAAGACGTCTTCTTCACGCCACTGTTACGTAAAGTAGATTGTTCAAGCAATTAAGATTAATCAAGGACGAATTTTCTGCTATCAAAAACAAAAAAATGATTGGGAAAGAATTTATTTTGGTTTATATATGTGCATAACATTTATATAGAGTTTAACTATTTGATAAATAGCTTCTTTTTGAATTTAGTGTAAGTACAGCATATCGTATAAACATTCTGGTCCTGATAGATTGTATAGTCGACTGGCTGGTAGCGAGGCCCCAGGGAGGAGGTCGATGGCACAGTCGTACGGGCGATGAGGTGGTAGGGACAGAGCGCTTTGTTTATTAAATACAGGAGCAAGGTCGTGATATACAGAAGGAACAGAAGACATGTCAGCTCTTTCTAAAATTTTAGTCTCCACAGGTCGGTTGGAGACTGCAGAGCGTAAACAATGTTTTAAGCAATTATCACTCCATTTTTCTATCCTCCCCAATTTCCAATTGATGCAGGGATTATGTTTCTTTAACCAAGGGTAGCCTAAAATGAGTTGAGTATTGGGAGATTAAACACATAAAAGTAATTAATTTCATGATGGTTTCCTGAAATGATTAAGTGTAACTCAGTAGTCTTGAGGTTGATCTGGGCTAAAGTCTCACCATTAACCCCCGCAATAGCAACAGAGGGGATTTTTTGAGTGGGTAAAAATAGTTTTTGGACTAAATTCAAGCTAATTAAATTTTGTTCAGCTCCGGAATCTATCAAGGCTTTGACAGGAAGGCGGTTCTGATTGATCTGAATGAGTGTGGGTAACATGAGTCTGCTGGAGGGAGAAAAAGAGGAAGAACACACCAATATCTCCCTTATTGACGGGCGGTCTCGTTTCCCCGGAATGGGCAGTTGGCTATATAGTGACCGGGGTTGCCACAATAAATGCATGAATTTGTATCACAACGTCTTTGTTTCTCCTTTGTAGACAGACGAGTTCGACCTATCTGCATAGGTTCGGGTTCCGGAGGTTCAGAGAAACGTCTGGTCGAAACTGCAGGTTGACTGGGAAGCGATCCTGGAAATGAGTCTCCCTGGGGCTTGTAGTTTCCCAGTGGTGTTCGGTGTAAACGAGGCTCACCTGAAGGCATCGCGGAACCGGAAGTGGTGAAGCGGTGGGAATTGTAGTTCCTTTCTCTTCGCCGTTCCCGGAAGTGCTCGTCTAAAGCTACTGCCAGGTCTATGAGCTCGTCGAAGCTTTCGGGGTCGTCCCGTGCAACGATCTGGTCCTTGATGGGGTCAGACAGAGAGTGTAAAAAGGTACCTTGCAGTGCCGTTTCATTCCATCCAGTCTGGGCCGCGAGAATACGGAACTCGAGGGCGTACTCCGCGACAGGCCGACTGCCCTGGCGTAGTCCGAGAAGCCGCTTTACGGCGTTCGGCTCCCGCAGTGGTCGATTGAAGATCTTCAGGAACTCCTTTAACAAGGTATCAAATGAAGCAGTTTCAACGTCATGGAACTGAAAATAAGAATTGGCCCAACGAAGTGCATCACCCTTTAATTGGTTAATGAAATACGTGATCTTAGCTGAGTCAGATGAATAGAGCTGAGGGGCTCCCTTGGAGGCAAGCTTACATTGTAGGATGAATCCTCCACACAGGCTGGGGTCTCCGGAAAAATATTCAGAGGGTTTAATTATTACCTGTTGGTTTATTGGTGTGACTTCTGGAATTGGGTTGGAGGAGTTGTTTACAGGAGAAGTACTAGATTCTGTAGAAGAAGGAGAGGATCTTTGGTTTAGAGAAAAAACCATACCTCGAAGTTCTCTTAGATTCTCCTGGATTTCTTGCTGTTGGGTTAGCACTTGTTGAAGTATCCCCTCTATTCTGGTAATTCGTTCCATCTGTGAAGAGGACGAGGTCTGCTCGTCTCTGGTCTCGTTCTGGGTCTGTTTTGGCTGGAGCATTTCTGTAATGACTAGCGGAACCCAGATTGGTACAAGACCAGAACGAAGCAGACTCAGATCTTTAGAAAGGAAGAAACAGTGTTTATTATATACAGTGTAGGGGGTTTATATACATATATGGCTGTCCTCCGGCGATCAGATGTAGGCGTCGGGAACCAGGGTAGGGCGGAATGTACAAGCAGGTCTGGCTGGAGAAAGCAGGACGACAGGACTGGCAAACAGAATCCGCTCGACGAATCTGGCAGACGAGTGGCTCGACAGGTCTGGCAGGCAGGTGGTTGACGAGGCAACAAGGATGGAGTCAAACAGGCAGGGTACTGCGGGCATAAAGAACAAGATAAGAGTATATCGTATACTCACACGTTTAGGCTGGAGGCATAAATACCAATAAAGCTCAATGCTCCAGCGATGAGTCACACAGGACTGCAGCCTTAAGTAGAGGTGTTCCTCATCAGGTGGATGACCGTCAGCTGGTGTTAATTAACGGCCATCTTGGAGGAAGGCTGCAGACATTGGGACTCCTACAGTTCCACAGTTTTGGAGCAGCAACCGCAAAAGCCCGATCACCTCTGGATTTCAGTTTGGATCTGGGGACATCTAAGAGGAACTGGTTGGTAGACCGGAGTGCTCTTACCGGAGTGTAGATGTTAATGAGATCACATAAATATGACGAGGCCAGACCTTTTAAGACTTTAAAAACAAGCAATAAAATCTTAAAATCAATCCGGAAGTGGACAGGAAGCCAGTGGAGAGAAGCCAGAACAGGGGTTATGCGTTCATGTTTTTTAGTTGCTGTTAAAAGACGAGCTGCTGTGTTCTGGACAGATTGTAAACGATGCAAAGATGATTTGTCTAAACCAACATACAATGAATTACAGTAGTCCAAACAAGAGCTAATAAATGTGTGAAACACCTTTTCAAGGTCTCTGAAAGGGAGACAAGACTTCACCTTGGCAAAATGTCTTAGCTGGAAGAAACTGGATTTCAAAACTGTATTTATCTGTTTGTCTAATTTAAAAGCCCTATCAAAAATATCCTGATGCATGCTCAATAATCCAGGTAGAAAAATCCAAAAAAATTCAATCTGGTCCTCTGGACATTCAAAAAAAAACCAAAAAACAAAACAAAGCAAAAAAATATAGAAACGTTTCGTCTCTCATCCAAGAGACTTCCTCAGTCTGAGGTGCTGTATTCAGCTCAGTCTCTTAAATAGCACCTTCTCAGAGTGGATCAACCAGTTTTGCTGCTGACAACCAAAACCAGCTGATCACATGCTCAAGAAGGACCATCAGCCTAACAATGGATCATTAGCACACTGATGGCTGTTTACTGTTCACAGAGGGCTGAGTGATACTAGCAATCACAGTATTGTAAGAGGGGGACAGTTGAACCCGGAGGCCTCCACCCCTGTTTAATGATGGACGATTTCTTTTCACAAAGATG